GTTGTGTAATTGTACAATTTGCGCGCTTTTGATNTTTAGTCCATTTACGCAAATACTCGTTACTTTTCTAAGAAAGTAAAAATATAGGTACACATAACTTACCAAGGATCACATGTATATATGTTAAGTATATTTTAAAAAAAGTTTAACTTTTATATATGTTACTGTATATTTTTAAGATTTTTTTAGCCCCATTTTAGCCGTCCATATTCATTATTTATTTTTTCTTAGCTATATACATAATTTATATATTGATTATACATAATTATATACGTATAATTCATAAATTAGACATATATAATATCTTCACCGGCTATTTTTAATTTAAGCGATTGGGTGAACGGTTATGTGGGTTAATTCTTCGAAATAATTACCTAAAAATCAAGACAAATAACCTCTTAAAACATATTAAATTACACTGATAAAATTGAAAAAGAAACAATTGGTACTCTCATAATTCAACTTGGATAAGTTTCAAAATGATTTGGGGCATAGAATCTCATAAATGTGAAATTTGTTGCTATGTGCAAATACCGTTGATATAAGTTAAAGTCCTATAAATATTAGGAATTCATGATCAAAAATCTGAAAACTAAATCAAAATAAAAGATCATTTCAGGTAATTATTAGGTATCAGAAAAATAGAAATAGAAATATAAAATTAGGAAAATTGAAAGTTCAGGGAGATATTACCAATTAATAATATGCTTTTTGGCTATTGACAACGTAAGGTGCGACTTTTCTTTTTTCTTTTACGTGATGAATTTGTACTTGACTGGTTCAATGAATCTATTCATTTAACTTGTCAAATAGTTTATCTGATTTATTAAATGGACGACGTATAGCTGAACTGAAAAGTTTGATGTTCCGTGATCATCAAATTGTAGATAACCTAATTAATAATCCCCAATATTAATTAAAGTAACTTATTGACAAATGACAATTACGTCTATCAATTTATGAAGTTATTAATTGATGATTTGACAATTTAATTTGCTTATTTTTCCCCTCTTTGGATGTGAACATGAGTTTGGATTATCAGTTTATCATATACAAAACATATGGCTATAATATTTGTTTAGAAGATAATATCAAAAAGGAAAACATACAGAAACAAACAATAGGAGACGTTGAGAATTTTCTTTCTAAAACCTCTTCAAGAAACGCCAACCATTCAACCAATAATCTGGTTGAATTAGTTTAACCACTTTGTATTACATTGAATTAACTAACATAAATTATTTCTCACTAGAAAAAAATGGAGAGATAAATATAGTTTAACCACTTTGTATTACATTGAATTGACAAACATATATTATTTCTAATTAGAAAAGTTACATATAACGTAATCCACATTAAAGTAATTAAATGATAGATATCTTTTAATATAGAACCAACTCAATTATTGACAATTTTTTTTATTTATTTGAGAACAGATTTTATATAGATGATGTTCCAATCAGAGAAATTGTACGTAATGATGCAATGGGAGGAGACTACCCATCAAAACCAATGGGATTATATGCAACAATATGGGATGCTTCAGATTGGGCTACTTCAGGAGGCAAATATAAAACAAATTACAAATATGCACCATTTATAGCTGAATTTACTGATTTAGTACTAAATGGATGTGCAATGGATCCATTGGAACAAGTAGTAAACAACCCTAGTTGTGATGAGAAAGATGATGAACTTCAAAAGGCAGAATTTTCAAGGATTACACCAAGACAAAGAATGGCCATGAAAAGATTTAGGTCAAAATATATGTATTATTCTTATTGTTACGATTCTTTGAGGTATTCAGTGCCACCACCAGAATGCGAGATAGATCCAGTTGAACAACAACATTTCAAAGAGACGGGGAGATTGAAGTTTAACAAGCACGGCCACCATCGTCATTCAAAGAGAACAAGAAGTCAAGTTCTTGATGCTAGGAACCATGGAAATCAAGATGAAGAGTGATTTTTGTTTACCATTGTTGTGTGTAGATATATAAAAGGAGGGAAAAAGTGATTGTTTTTTTGTTTTTTTTGCTAGAGTGGAGGGTGGAAAAATGATGATAAAATTATTTTAGTATGACACTGATTGAGTTATGTTGTATATAAATAAAAGGGGTTATTACTCATTTATAATAGAAGATCTTTTGTGATATGAAAGCCGAGCTTTAAATTATGTATATTAAATATTACTAGAGGCTCTATATATACTATTCTATTCTTTAAAGGATCCAACTCCACTCCATTTCCTATTATCTCCATTTCTTCAAGTTCTTACTTGGATGGATGACACATGTCTTATCTTTATATCAATGATCTAAAGTTAATTACTTGACACAAGGTTTTAACCACAGTTAAAATAATAGATATCTTTATATATTTACTCCTAAAAAATTTGACAATCCCATAACTAAAAGATTTGATAATCCCATAATTGTAGGAGCAAATTTCTGAATACTCATCAATTAATGCATTTTTATTTGCTTTAAACCCTTTTTGAATGTAAAAGGGAGCACGTAAAAAAAATATTCGTTTTTGAAATCTAGAATTTCCACAAGTTTTCGAAATTCATTCATTTAGTTTATGTTAAAAACTTTTTTTCCACATCTCGTTTACGTTAGTGATTTTCTTCTTTCATACTTTGGTATGTTAACTTATTTCAATATTTCGATTCCTAGGTATTTCTTTCTTCAAAGTAAAAGCGAGAAAACAACTCAAACATCTTAGACTTTTTGATCCAATAATGCTGGGTTATTTGTTTCAGTAGACAAATTGAACGTATTTGTAATAATTTACTACTTTTACATATACCTAAATTGTTGTTTAAAGACCATCAAGTCTCGTAAAGCCATTATCTATAGTTTATAGGCAGATTCATTGTTTTTCAATAAAAAATGGAGGGGGATTATAAGATATAATATGAAATGGAACTACTTTCTTTTATTTATTTTCAAAAATATTTCACTTTATTATTTGGTAAAAATACTTTTTGGCACAATACGTTTGAGGTATCTTAATATTCATACGTTGTATTTCTATTGTAAGTGTTGTTCTATTTAAAAAGGAAAAAAGAAGAACAAAATTGGAAAGAATATCAGAAGTTCAGAAAAAAATAATGGAAATATTATTATCCTAACCATGGTTAAGTAAATGTTTAGGCAATTAAATTTAAACCATTGATTTAAAGATAAGACATGTGTCATCCATCCAAGTAAGAACTTGGAGAAATGGAGACAATAGGAAATGGAGGGGAGTTGGATCCTTCTTTAAACTAGTTCGTCTGGTAAAGATTCGACAAATATATAATCATTTATTATCCAAAATAAATAAGGGGACGTTGAATTTTTTCTTCGGAAAGCTCCTTCTTGAGTTCCATTCACTTGGCAATATATGGGACATCATATTGATAGGTTATATGTGTATCCCTGTTATGTTTTGATGATCAAACAAACTTATTATTTAGAATCAGATAAGGAACCTGATACACATCCTTAAGAACTTAAAGATCACCAAGTCTCCAGTTGGGGACACAGTTCAACTCTTCAGAGTCAAAGGAATAGTAGAGGGAACGGATAGCTACCAGTTCCCGCGGTGACTGTACAAATCAACTCCCCCAGATGTAAAGTTACTGCCTGCACACGCAACAGTGCGAAAATAGTACAACAATCAACTTTATGGGGAATGCCCTTTACCTAACTTCCTTGCATCATTCAAATGATGTCACAAGTGCATTATTAACATCAAGCAAAGGTAAAACAAAACACTTGCACATTCAAGAATTGATCAAGCATTCTCTCAGGTCATCTATCAATCTTGTAAGTGACTCTCAGGGGCATCAAGAACAAAGAACAACATAACGACGGACCAGTTTCCTATATCGAGTTATTACATGTCCTTAGTTGTGTTGTACCTTTGTTAAAGCATTCTACTTGTAATTCCTACTTAGCTTAGTTAGAAGCATTGTGTGGGAAATCTTTGTAAATCATAAACCCTTATATTTGTGTCTTGGCTAGAGTTAGTCGAGTTGTAAAGTCTTTGTAATAGAGTTATTACAAAGTGGCTTGTAATAGTGTTGTTACAAGTTAGTGAGGGACTAAGAGGTTAATTCCTAGGTTACAATAGTTTGTAATCTAAAGTTTGCTCAGTAGTGAAGTTGAAATCCTATAAGGGTCGGTCGTGGTTTTTGATCCTTTGAGCTGAGAGTTTTTCACGTAAAACTCCATTGTGTCATTTACTTACTGTAGTGTGCGTGTGTATTCTGTGGGAACTAATAGAGAACCTGGTTCTCCATATAGTTTGGTGGACCCTTAATTTCTATTAATTGGTATCAGAGCGGGTTCTTTCTATCAGGCTAACACCTAGAAAGGATCCTCATGGCTGCTCCGCCAAACTTCGAAGAAGGTCAGTATACCTACAGACTGCCAAAATTTAATGGCCAGTACTATGGATGGTGGAAGATGAGGATGCAAGACTTCATCATAGCTGAAGACTCAGAGCTCTGGGATATCATCTGCGATGGACCCTTCATTCCTACGAAGACCATTAGAGACCCCGTAGTGACAGTTTCTAAAACTAGAAAGGAATATAATGATGTTGAACGCAAGGCTATTGAAAAGAACTTTCGAGCTAAGAAAATCCTCGTCTGTGGTATTGGACCAGATAAGTACAACAGGATTTCAGCATGCCAATCAACTAAGGAGATCTGGGAAACTCTCCAAACAACTCATGAAGGGACAACGCAGGTAAAGGTCCAAGATTGACATGCTGGCCACAGAGTATGAGCTTTTCAGAATGAAGGACGATGAGTCCATTCAGGATATGCACACTCGCTTCACGTCTATCATCAATGAGCTTCACTCACTGGGAGAGATCATCCCCAGCAACAAACTTGTCAAGAAGATACTTAGTGTATTACCTGGTTTCTGGGAAAGCAAAGTAAATGCCATTACAGAGGCAAAGGATCTTCAGGAGCTGACTATTGATGAACTTGTCGGTAATCTCAAGACCTATGAAACGAAGAAGAAGAAGGATAATGAGAGAAGAGAGCCCAAAAGGGAGAAGAACCTGGTCCTCAAGACTCAAGTGGTGAGGATGCTGATATGGCCTACCTCACAAAAAGGTTTCAGAAAATGGTTCGCAGAAATGGGGGCATTCCAAAAAGAGGCAGCTCCGGCAAGCCAAAAGGTTATGATCTATGTCAGAAGTGCGGCAAGCCAGGACACTTCATCATGGATTTTCCTCTCCTCAAGCAAGATCAATACTAACACAACACTGACAAAGCAGCTAAGAGGAACCAGGTTCCTAACAAACGATTCAAGAGAAAAGATGCCGCTGACAATGTTGTGAAACAAGCCCTTGCTGCATGGGGAGACTCTTTCAGCGAATCTGAAGAAGATGATGATCAAGTTGATAGCTCCATGATGGCAGTGGAAAGTGAAGCAGCTAAGTATGAATCAATCTTTGCCCTTATGGAAAAATCTGACAATGATGAAGATGATGATGATGATGATGNTTTTTTTTTTTTTTTTTTTTTTTTTTAATTTCTTTCTTCAATTTTAAGAAAAGTACAAACATCATATCATCCTTTTACCAACGCGGTTCGTTGAATTTTAGTACAAATTTGCGGCCGCTTTTGATATTTGACCATTTCGCAAATACTGTTCCTTTTCTAGAAAGAAAAATATGGTACACATAACTTCCAAGGATCACATGTATAATATGTTAAGTATATTATAAAAAAAGTTTAACTTTTATATATGTACTGATATTTTAAGATTTTTTGCCCCATTTAGCCGTCCATATTCATTATTTATTTTTTCTAGCTATATACATAATTTATATATTGATTATACATAATTATATACGTATAATTCATAAATTAGACATATATAATAT